CAGACAGTTTTAATGTGCATACATTGGTCATGAGGTGCCTTCCTGTAGCTAAGATACTGAAAACATATTTGAGGGGTGAAATTATGTCAGTACAAAGAGAGATGTGGGAAATGGATGTAGAAAGCATTTACCGTTTCTTTACACTTAGCAAAATGAGTACAAACTAGAGTATGAATAGGAATTAAAGCAGAAAACATGCAGTAGTGGAAATTTCATACACATGATCACATGTTGAAACCTTTAACATGTGCCACATGAGAAAACATCTCCTAATGTTTTACAGTTTTAAATGTTGCTGGTTAGCATGCTAGCAACCACCCACAGTTAGCATCCTAATCTGGACTAGCTGCTACCAGCTAACCTCCTGAAATTCCTGCAATTAGACTGGGAAGTATGCAATGGATATACAAATGCATGGAGGTTTAAAATACTAATGGATGAAATCAATCACTGGTAGCATGCAGGGTGGGTCATGAAAGAAGCCCTGAAGAGGAACTGTACAGTGATTAGTTTACTCTGCAGACTTAGCCAACAGGTATCTGGTCTGATCCACTTTTGTCTTGTTATACAATCCTGTACCTGAGATGATAAACAGATTGCTAAAAACTTCATAACAAAAGTTGGATGGATGTCTGAGTAAAAAATAGTAAAATAGTACAGAAGATTAAATCATACATCCAAGGACAGACACTGACATCAAAAGGAAAAATGCATTAAGTAGCTTAAATCAAATAAATGGGTATGTAGAGGACATTATGTTAAATTCAGTGGTTAAGGACTAAAAGACCAGAATCAGATGTGAACAAAGATTAAGGGCAGATGCTGTAAACAAACTCAGGATCATCATAACAGAAGCAACTTCAAATTTCCATCTAGTTTTGTTCACATCCATTAAAATTATTATTAACTGTTTGTTGTATTGGGGAGGGGAGCATCTATCTGTGCTCATTGAAAAATATTCTCAATGAGCACAGATAGATTTTTGACATATTCTCAAAAAAAAATCAACACAACCAAGTTTTCTATTGCTTCTTTTTCTTACTTTGTTATACTAAAGTTACACTGAGCTTGTATCTCTTTTAGTGACGAGGTCTGGGTCAAGACATTTTGATTGCTTTGAATTTCATGGAGATTAATTCAATCTATTGGCCTTTCTGGGGCACTGGGTTGGTGGGAGACTTTGGGCTTCTTTCAGGACCACCGACTTTTTGTTTTAGCTTTATCAAACAATAACTGTCAGCAGTAATCTGAGTTCAAGAGAAGATGCACTAGATTGCTCAAAAATCAATGTATATGGTGAAAAGAAGATCATATAATGTGACCATCTCAACCCTACAAACTTTTGTTCAGCATAATATTAGATCTGAGGTTCATCTCCAAGAAATGTTCAGATCTCTGTGAATCTTCAGTTAAAAAAAATCTTCAAGTTTGGGTCAAAACGAGCTTTCCTTCTCCACTAATCAGAAGAAATGCATGAGATCTTAGCAGCTTTAAGAAGCTGACACTTTCTGGCCATCCAGTCCAATCATTCAACACTTTTCGACCAAACCAGTACAGAACCGTCTTCTGAAATACACCAATGGATGGTCATTCTATACGTAAGGGCAGCAAACAAAAGAACAGCTGGTTCTGGCCAGCTCTGACATGCCTGCACCTTCCCAGATTTCCTGGTGCTGCTTACTGACGTACCACAGGTGAGGTCCGACTCTAGCACCAACGTTCTGCTTCATGAAAGTCCCATTGACAATGAGCCCAACATGAACAGTTTGAAAATATGACAGATATTTTCACTCACTGTGTTTGTGCATGAACCTTTCTGTCATTGATTGCTGAGATAACCAAGTCTCCGGCAGAGTATTTCGAATATCTCAGCAATGCAGAGAAGAATGGTGATCACAGTGAAAGTGTACATAGCACTGAGGAAGATGGTTTTTTCAAAGTGTTCAGGTACCATGCACTTAGTCACATTGAAGGCCTTCTCCAAGGAGCTGGCATCACAGACGTAGACCGGGTGAACCTGAGGACAGCAGAGAGGTGTGAGGCAGTGGGTACGTTGGGTTTGGTTTATTCCACAAGGACCTGCAGTTCATCCAGACACAACCTTCGAAATCTAAGTCAAGCTGTTGCATTCTTATCAAAGACAAGTAACTTTCTGCACCAACTCTACAAAACAAGCCATACATGTTAATGTATTGAACATTGAGCTAAAAGTCGTCAGAAATGGACAAACCTGAAAACCAAAGAGGTGGCTCTGTAGCCAGAAGGCGATGATTTCTAGAATGATGCGGAGCAGAACGGAGATAATGTAGAAGACGGTGTAGATGGGCCGTTCAAGAATTTCCTCTTGCTCTATATTCTTACAGGCGGCGTACAGGTGGAACCACGCTCCAGGAACCAGGACAGATACCAGCTGCAGCGCCCAGAAGACCTGCAGAGAGCAGAAACATATAAACAGGAAACACTGGGTGTTAGGGATAAAGGTTCTCCCACCATGGTGTAAGCTAGCGGTGTCAACTCCATGCAAACTACTAGGTACTTGAAGAATTCAGTAGTTAGTAGAAAACAGTTGATAACCAAAACTTCACAAATGTCAAGTAAATTAGTGCCTTAGAATTTATTTGGAAACATTAAATTAGTGGAAACTAGGTGTGCAAATGCTTTCAAGGTTAGCAAGGCGCTAAAGCACTAAGCTAGAAATTAGCTCCGCTACTAGTGCATTAGCAAAAGTGCGCTGCCTGCATCCTGCATGCAGGAAAAAAAAGTCGCCTTGAACCGTTCTGCTTTAAGAAATTATAGCAGTTGAATGTTGTATAATCATTCCACCCTGGAAAATAACTTAGGCCTATAAGATGAGGTTAATGTTGAGTGAGTTGGAACATCTGACCAGTACTGTGTTTGAGGTTTGTGCTGAGGTGTTTTCTCTGGTTCTGACTCATAGTGCTGCTTGGTCCCACCTGAGGTGTTATGGGTCTGAACTGGTTGTAGCAGAACAGGTTGAGCTCTCGTCGATCCGGGTCGCAGCTGAAGTGCAGAGCTTCATTCCCGTAGACCGCGAAGCCAAGAACACCCAGGAAGAACATCCGAACCGAGCCAAAGAACAGCGTGTGGAACTGGCCGATGACAGTAGGAGGCCTGAGCTGGAGCACAACCACAGACAGACACACAAAGATCACTCAGAGGCAGAGGCAGAGTTAAAACTGGTCATACTTGGAAGGGACCGGTTACTCTTTTTTTTTCACAAGGTTCTGGTTACAAAACTGTAGAGATTATCTTTCATATCTCTCCTCTGTCTTAAAGTCCTTTTACAGATGACTGTGCTGGGTTTTAGAGTAATCCCCCTCCAGTCATGCTCATGTACTGCAAGTCAGCTACCTGAAAGAAAGCCATGCTTTCCCAGAAAGAAATAAAAATAAATGTAAGTTAGCTACTTTATTCACAATCAACTAACTCAGTCTCTGTTGGAAGCAGTCTTTGCCCAGCAGTAGAAGAAGAGTGATCAGTAACAGACAATCAAGATGATCAAAGTTGAGCATACATTTATGAGCTAAGACAATATTTACTTTAACTGTGAGTTTTTCCATTTTGCATACAAAACGTCTGATTTCCACAGATCACTTTTAAAGTAATAACCGCTCTTCAGCTGACCAACCTGCCTGTGAAACCACAACCATTCAAGGACGTTGCATCACTTTCTTTTTCAGTCACCGTCAACTCAAAATAACTTTTTATGTTTGCTTCAGGTGATTTTTATCTTTTATAGAAAAAGAGTTAGTGCGCTAAAAGGGAAACGGAAATACATTTACTTAATAAGTTCTGATATAATAAACACCCTTTCCACTGGTAGGTCTCTGCCTTACCAGAGGTATGAATTTAAATTCCAAGCCTCTGGCACGTAGTGGAGGACTCTGGCTATGTGTGCTTCATGCTAGCTTGCAACTTCTACATTCTGTTTATTACAGCCGTGTGTAACTTCAGCGATGGTCAAAATTAGGCCAGCCTGGTTGATTCGCTTCAAAACAGTAGATGGAAAAATGTGTAATTAGCATTTTTCACTTTTCTAAAGGTTAACTCAAAATTCAAATGACAGTTGGATGGAAACATGGCTAACATCTGACATGATCCAGCTGAAATCTGACTCTGTCTGTGTTTTAACTTCTCTTCAATCCACCATGTGGTGAATTCATTCGCAGAGACTCTCAGGTCGAAAAAACATAATGTGAGGAAATTTGAATAAGGTTTTGCATCAGGTTTAGCTATAACAAGCTAAACAGACATTTTAACATCAGCTTGAATTTTTGTGTTTATAATTTTTCACTGTGGTGATTTAAAGGCAGACCAAAGCGAGCTTCAAAGTCCCTCTGCAGGGTGCTGGTTTGTTGGGTCTCCAATCTGCTCTTCTTACGCATCATTTAACGTGAATTTCTCCTCCTTACTAGATAATATGGCTTACAAACCTCTTTGAAGTCAGTTGCTATGGTGTCTCACTTTGATACCTGAGTATTTGGTGACGTGTTCTGTAACTTCTAACTTTAGTACCTGGTTACATATTCTTCTGTTTCAGTCATGCAGTTGGGTGAAAGCCGTAGATAAAAGCAGTTGGATCACGGTCTGATTAACACTGAGGCATTTTCACTCAGCTGTTAGAAAGAAGGAGAACCTGCTTTTGTCTGCCAGATAATCAGAGTCCCTGAGCTCTGATGGCTGAAAACAAAAAGCCATTCAGAGGAAACATTTCTCATCTCTTCAGCTGCTCCGCTCTGATACAACCACCATCTACCAGAAAACAGCAAACATGATGTCAACAGCAGCAGACTGATTTCAGCAGGATAATGGCTCCTGACTCATCTACTCACACATCCTTCGTAGAAGTTCTTGATGTAGTTTAAAGACATGATTTGCTCTCTGACGTCCCCTGTGTGACTCTGGGTGGCTCCGGGCCCTCGCGGCCAGGACTCCACAAACCTGCAGCTGAACTCTTCCACCTCTCTTTCTCTCTCATGAAATCATGTAGCCTTTTATCTCCCCCTAAACACACTGACCCACTCAGTGGAAAAAACACAACAGGGACCAGGGGGCCAACAAAGAGCCAGGGGCGGGGGGCCTGGGTCGCCCGCGTTTTAATCCCTACTGGACCCTGTCAGCAAAAAAGCCCTCCTCTGGAGCACAATGCAGAGGAAACACCTGGTTAGGTGAAACAACTGATGGGTTTATTCTTTATTTCTGTAAACCTGGAGCTTCACTCACTGAAAACAAGTTCAGATTTCAACAAATGATCTAAAAACTAAAAGCTTCCTGCACTTTATTTCAGAGGTTTTGTTGAAGTGGAAACATGAGTCCATCAGCATCAGGAGTCAAACACACACACTCCTACTGCACACACATCTGAGGTCCCAAAGATAGAGAGAAGAACCAGAACCAGATCAGAACCAGAACCAGAACCAGTAGAAGAAGTTAGTCACACACCAACCGGAATCCTGGCGGAGTGCTGTTCATTCCCTCTCTTTTTTCCCAAACACAGATCCCAGTTTCATCCCAGCTGTTGGACAGTACAGGTCAGATGAGCCTCAGTCAAGTTACATGGAGGTGAGGTGAGCCACTTCCTGGCACGACTTTCAAAATAAAACAGAAACAGAAATCTGCAGCTACTGAGTCTTTCTGCTCCGTTTAAACAGGAAGTAAGAGCTAAAACTGACCTCCAGGTTCTAGACTCTGGTGAATCACAGGGAGAGAAAAACCTGCAGATGATCTGAACTGAGTGTAAACAGGAACAGCAACATAAACGCCTTTGAGCAGCAGGGCTGTGTGATGTGTTTACATGCATAGTGACATTATATAGCACAATCAAGTATCTATGTTACTTCAGTTGTTCAAATATCAAATATGAGTTAAAAGAAAATTTACTTCATAACTTGGTGGTTTTAAAATTGGGTTCCTGTCTCTTTAAAAACTCCTGCTCTCACAGCGTTTTCACCAGCATTTCTCTGAGCAGTAGCTCCTATAACGAGCTCAGCAGCTCCACCAGCTGTTTGCTGATTGCTGCCGGCTAGTCTGAAGGAGCTGAGTCGCTGCTCTGTGAGGCAGAAGCCCAGTAGCTTACAAACTGCAGCTCAGAGGAGGAGCTGCGTCTCAAAGGCGGGGCTACAACCAACCAGGTGTTTTGCACAGCTGTATGGTTGCCATGGAGATTAAAGGATTTCTCAAACATGCTAGAAGGAATCAAGGCAATGCTTCACTCATAAGGGATTAACATTATAACATAATGTACAACTCAGAAAAGTCGAGTTTACATATTACTGCCCCTTTAAGCAACTTCTTGGGTGTCACACTTGAAGCTTTCTGAACTGACAGATTGGATCTTTAATCAGTAAGAACATTCAGCAGAGATCCAACTCGTCCCACCTCTGACTTTAACCATCTGTGACAGAATCAGACCCACTCGGTCGGTTAAAGTCTCGTTAAGCAGCGAAACAGAAAGCTCCCAGATGGAGTCCTTTATCTCCAAGAAAACTTGGACGAAGGTGAGAAATAAAATAAGTTTTCTCTGTTGTCAAGTTCTCCTGATCACATTCTGCAGATGTCACAAGGTGGGGAATTATTTCTGGACACCAAACAGATTCTTGGTCATGGCGCAGAGCTTCTCCTCTACATGCATGCGATAAAAACCATGCTGCACATTTAATCCCACGGCGAATTATTGCAGACAGAGAACCTGCTGAATTTGTAAAACACACACAGGCTCTTCATACAGACTCATGAAGGTGTAATAAATCACTTGCACATTTTATGTCTAAAGATACCAGATTCATCAAAAACATCCCAACATCCACATTAATATGCGGCTTTAGAGTCAGCAGCAGGAAAATCACATCTTCAGGAAAACAGACTGTGCTGCCTTTACATCTGTTTCTGTAAGGATTCAGCTTTCTGCACGGCTGGACTTTGGTCACACTTCAATATGCATCAGACAATTCAAAGGGAGAAATGGAGCAGGAAGCAAACAAAGGAGCTGGGCAGACAAAAGGCAGTGCTGAACCACAGTAGAGAAGCTTTTTTTACCTGAATCAAACCTGATCTGTCTGCTATATGTCTGGATCCAAACAGAAAGCAGCAGGTTGACAACGCTGCCCCTAGTGGCTGCATTTCTGTCACCTCTGAGCTGCAGCAGCATATGAACCAGAGACTACAGCAAAACCATCAGCCATGTAAAAAAAGCAAACAAATCCAACATGCTCTGCTTAAATCAAACCAAAATGAAAATTTCTAAATAAATATAAAACACTGAAGAGAAAAAAACATCTTTATGACACATGGTGATGGCAGCATCATGCTGTTGGAACAGAAAGATGGATGGAGCCCTGAAGACTTGATGCTGGGCTGGAGCTTCACCTTCCAGCAGGACAACCACCCTAAACATCCATGGTTTAGATCAGAGCAGATTCATGGGTTAGAATGGCCTAGTCAAAGTCCAGACCTAAATCCAACTGAGAATGTCTGGTAAGATTTGAAAATTGATCTTCACAGACATTTTTCCCCCAATCTAACTAGAGCTTGGTTTATTTTTAAAAGAATGGGGGAAACTTCTAAATCTTCTGTTTTTGATATTTCTTTAAAAAATGTCGGCAACGAGAGAATCTTTAATGGCTCTGCAGCAATTAAACCCTTTAACGGAGCATTAGGCTGGGATTTCTTTATTTTCAAATTACGAGAATGAAGTCATTATTATGACAGTAACAATTATCACAAAATTATCACAAGAATGTTAGGAGAAAAAAGTTGTTTTAGTGATAAAAATGCTCGGAGAGAAGAATAATGATTATGTTTTTATCACTGGAACCTCGAGAAGGAATTCAGATTGCAACAGAAATGTTCCAGCTGGGAACATTCCTGGAAAAAAACCATAGAGCAACAACAAGAAGCAAAGCCAAGAAAGAGCTGGACTGGTAGAGAACTACACACACACCCACCCACACACACACACACACACACAGCAGACAGCTGGGTTCCAGTATAAACATGCAGTAAATAATGAACCAGTCTCCCCAACATGACAGCAGTTTAAGAACGAGATTCTTTTCCCGTGGCTTTCTGTGGTTCATCCTCCTGATTTATTGAGAAGCACGTGGGAGACGAGCTGAATGAAGCGCGCGCACAGCAGAGAGGGAGGCTGCTCTCCAACAGGTGCATCCTCCTCCTCCTCTTCCTCTTTCTCCTCCTCTTCCTCTTTCTCCTCCTGCCTCTCTTTACGCGCTCAGCTCCCTGCCTCTGCTCACTCTGCGGCTCAGACCTGCAGCCCTCAGATCAAGTGTTGCCCCAAACTTTTCTCTCCGCTCTCAGGCTGATCCAGCTGCACCACCGCGCTGGTTTTACGCGCAGCAGCTCCTGCAGCTGGAGCTCCCCTCCTCCCCAGCATGGATGACGAGTTCCTCTCCAACCTCTCCCCGGCTCCACCCGGAGACCCCGAGGCGTTGACCCCCAACTCCACCGCGGAGCCCGGCTGGTGGGGGGCCTCCGACGGCGGGGAGACGGTGCACTTCGTGGTGCGCTGCGTCATGACCTCTGTCTACATCCTCATCATCACCGTGGGTCTGCTGGGGAACATCATGCTGGTGAAGATCTTCATCACCAACAGCGCCATGCGCAGCGTGCCCAACATCTTCATCTCCAGCCTGGCTGCGGGCGACCTGCTCCTGCTGGTCACCTGCGTGCCCGTGGACGCGTTCCGGTACTTCTCGGAGGAGTGGGTGTTCGGCGAGGCGGCGTGCAAGCTCATCCCCGTCATCCAGCTCACCTCAGTCGGCGTGTCGGTGTTCACGCTCACGGTTCTCAGCGCGGACAGGTAGGAGGACCCGGTGAACTCCGGAACAAGTTTTATCTGCTGGAAGGAAAAGCTGCAGGAGTTCTGATGGTTAACAGAGGAAACCCACAGAGATATGAAATGTTTGCTCCCCTCTTTGAGCCCCTTCAGCGTTGCACTTTCCTAAAATAGTAAATAATGGTATCAGCTTTTAATTAAGAACTGAAAGAAATATCATCGCTATATTTAGTCTGGATTAAATTAATAATTTGACTCTGTGTGGATAAAAATAAAATCCAGAATAAATTCAAGCATTCATGATTTTTGTTCCTTTTTTTGTCATAAACACAAAACTCGACTTTCATTCCTGCTCTTGATCGCTTCTAGTTTCACATCATCCACATTTTTATAGCCATCAAAACTCCATCTGAGCAGCGTCAGTAAAAAGTTTTCACCCCCTTTTATCGAATCATCAACAATAAAATCTGGCTTTTTCCCCCACAAAAACATTGAAAAAACAACAACAAAACTTTTAATATGAAAGTGAAAGTGATTTCTACAAAATAATAATTACATAAAAATATGTAACACAAAAGCAGTGACTGCATAAATATTCACTTCCTCCAGGTCAGTGTTTGTTTGCAGTCGGTGTGGCTCGGTCTCACTCAGGCTCATCTGCTCTGCAGTTTTCCTCCATTCTTCCTGCTGAACCTCTGTCAGGTTGATTTGGATCAGCTGAGAACAGGTCTGGGCTTTGACTGGGCCACTCTGGAACCTCCACCTTGTTGTCTGTGCAGCTTTAATTTGTCATTTTCCTGTATAGTTACGTTTTCTGAAGCCGTCCTGGCAGATGGAAACAAACTCCAGGATCTCCTGATATTTTGATGCTTGCTGCATGTTGGAACCTGTTGGCCACCGTAACGTTGTGCAGTACAACAGTTCCACCAGTAGTGAAACAGTCCACAGCATGATGCTGCCACCGCCATGCTTGACAGTTGGTACGTTGTTTTTATGTTTGAAAGTCTCACTTTGACTCTTCCAAACATTGTTCTTGTCATTTTGGAGACATCTGGATGATCCAAGACTCGACTCCATGATTATTAAACATCTTTAGAAGGAAACCAAGGAATTTAACTGAACTTTACCAGTTTCACAAGGAGAAAAGAAAAGAATTAAGTTTGTTGGTGGCAACAAAAAGGGAGGATGTATATTTGAGCTTGTTCAGCCCAGAGACAACAAATGAACAAAACACTCAAAAAATGATGAAATTGGTCTGAAGAAGCCATTTTAATCCAAACAGCCATGCATAAACATTTCTTCTTCTTCTTCCTCTTCTTTACTTTACAGACATTTCTCAAGGCTTTGTGTTTGTTTTGTGGGCAGAGATTCCTGGTGGATCAATCCATCTTCAGTCCATTATCTGGTGCTTTTTTATTGTCCTCCTGCAGAGTTTTCGTTCTTTAAATCTGTTCAAAAAGGTTGAAAAAGAATTTAAAACTTTAGTATATTCTGTTTTGCTGAATTTAAGGTTTGGATGAATGAAACATTTACAGGACAGATGATCAAGTGACTCAGCTTCTTTACGTTTTAATGTTTGTTCCTCTGCTGGGATCGCTCGCTGGTTGCCGCTCAGATTAATGAAAGATGTTTGTTCTCCTGTCTGGATTCCAGCAGCATGATGTAGTCATCAGAATCAGTTCAGGCTCTGTTGGTTCTCATCCTCCTGGTTTCCTGCAGCGCCTCCTTCTGCTGCTCAGCCGGGATTCTGGTCTCTCTCCAGCTGAGACAAGTTTACACCAGAAACTATTTGTTTTCACTGAGCAGTGGTTCAGAAACTCACCAGAGTTTTTCTCCTGCAGTTTAATCTGCAGCTGGAAGAAATGCAACCTGCTGGCTGATTTTCATGCAGCTGCTGCAAATCTCTCACATACTTTACCAGTTTATTTGAGTCTAAGTACATCTGATACATTCCTGGGAGATTTTATTATATTGTTCATTTAAGTAAAAATATAAATCAATGGTGTCAAAGTCTAACATAAATTAAAAACTGGGATAAAGTCACATTAATTATTAAAATAATTAAACCCAGTTTATGCACAACATAAACATGCATAAGACTGCTGACGTAAGTGTTGTCCATATAAATGGAAAGTTGGGTGGAAGGAAAAATCTAACAGAAACATTGCATATTCATTGCATATCATTAAGATAATCCTTATTTTATATTATTGTAACATTTGAACGTTTAGTTTTCATCAAATGTAAGCCAGAATCATTAAAATATATACAGTTATAATGCCTGAAAATGAATGTAATGGTTTTGTGTAATTTATTAGTTTTATTTTTACGAAAAAATAAAAATAAAAAAACAATAATTGAAGTTGATCTAAACGCCAAACTGAACATTTCTGTTTTCTGTCGGCCTCCTTCAGGGAGGATCTTCAGAAGCTCAGAGCAGAAATAAGAAATAAAACTTAATTCTTAGGTTCAGCTTTTAGACATTTTCCAGAAAATCTCTGCTGTAAGTGGAAAGAACTGGATGTTCAGTTTGTTCTGACTGAACTGAAAAAACCAGCATTTATCGCATGAAACTTAATAAAAAGAGTTTATTCTAACCAGATAATAAGATTGCACTATAATCTGTTAGCATTAAAGATATTGTGTCAGGAAGACAGATTGGTGTGATCAGGTCCATCATTCTGGGCGGCGTTATAACGCAGAACAACAGCAGGATAATAATCAGGAGAAGAATTGTAGATGTGAGATATGATGAGGAGAAAAATGGCACAAAAGAAACGGTGAGGACAGAGTGAATCAGTTCTACAGGAGAGCCGGCGTTGTTCTGGTGTTTGTGATGCTGCAGCAGAACAAACTGAGCCTCCAGACTCAGCAGACAGAGTTCAGTGCTGCTGGTGACAAATCACCGGCTGGAGGCTCGGCTCCACGAAGAGGTGGAGCTCATGTTCCTCAGCTGGGGGCCGATCGGTCAGAGGACAAAATAAATCAGCTCATTGCTTCTCCATAAATCAGAGCGTATCTAAGGTGGGATTCATGTTTTAATGGGTCTGGAGGAAATAAGAGCAACACCATTAAGGTTTGTTCAGCTCTTCTTAGACTTTGACTGGGACATTTCAGCTCAGGTCATTTTGTCACGTTGCTTTAGAGAAAATAAGCTTTCTCATTTAATCTTTCCAATTCACTTGACATTTAACCTGTGTTCTCCTAAGTAACCCCCAAAACAACTTTATTTTGCAGATAAACAGTATAAACTTTAAGGTGTTTATAGAAGAAATAGGAAATATAGAAATATCCTTTGTTGTCCCACAATGGCAACAAATAGACTCACACAAAGACAAAACATAAAATAGTTATAAAAACAGAATAAAGAATAAAAATCTGCACAGTAAGGGCAAAAGTTAAGCATAAATGTTGTGAAACATATAAGAAACTCCATTAAAAGTATTTATGTTTCTGTACAAACTGATATATAAATTTAAACTTGTTGACTTCTTGCTCTTAAGTGTCTCAGTGCTGCCCTCTTTGGATTGAAGACTGGCTACTACAGTTGAAGTTTCATGTGGTTCCATCAGTACAGCTTGGTTGACCTTTACATAAAAGCATCTCAGTCAGACATACGCCCCCTGGTGTACACTATCAGCAACAAGGTTAGCAATACTCAACAAATATAAAACTGAAACTATCAGTTAAAGGTCTGTTCAGAGCATGACTTCGTAAAGTTCAAATCACACATGTAGGAATGTAATGACATGTCAGACACTGCCGAGGATCATATATTATAGAATGTTTTGTTGTTGTCATATGGTGGGCAGAAGTCTGTTTGAATTTAGCGCATTAGCATTTTAGCATTTTAGCATTAGCTTCCATTAAATTCCATGTTGTTTATTGTTTATGAGGGTTGCACAAACTAATGTTTTAGTTAGCGGTGCCTACTGCTGGTCTGCTCAGTTTCTGCAAAGCAATTGGTGCTTTCACATGTTGCCAAAGTATCCAGTAACAAAAAAGAAGTTGATAGATTTGTCGCTATAGCCTTTTCTTTCTTCTTTTTTTTATGCATCAATTAAATCCCCTACTCCAACATCTCTGACCAGCTTTCTAACCGTATAGCCAAAGATTTAGAGAAATGGCAAAAGCAAATGAGGTGGATTAGTTACTTGGATGATGCGAGTTACAACCACATTTAATTTTCCTTTGAGATAAGTCAAAGGAGGTGGTTTGACATCGCTAATGTCTTCCCACTGGCGTCGCGTTGACACGCATCTGTAGGCTGCAGAGCATCAAACACTCAAAACCTCTGATTCTGTTTGGATGTTTGCTGTTTATGTTGGTATGAATTATAAACTGTGCTGAAGCCACCTGTAACACCATTTTTTCTCGAAGCACTTGCATCCCTCTGTTGTCACGTCATTTACTGCAGACAAATGTAAAACAGAGAGAGCTCAGAGCTTAAAATATTCAGAATAAGAGCTACCTGGAGCTCCTGGAGGCCCCGAAGTCCTACAGGAAGCTCAGAGGTTCTTTAAAAGTCATTTATCAGAGTTACTAAAGGCACAATAAAAGTCTTGAAATAGATAGAAGAAAGGAGTCAGTGAAAGCTACAGGGAGTCGTCTCCTTTGTTTCATCAGTTCCTTTCTTTATCACATTTCCAAGGTTGATTGTTTTCTCCCCCAAATTTTCCTCCTGACTACGTAACTCCATCTTACTGCAGATCTCTGATGGATACTTAGAACCTTTTGGCTCATTTATGGTTTAAAATCAATGGAAGTCGTGCTGCATTCAAGGACATCAGGAAAAAGGCACACCACAGACATTCAACATGACATTTAAACCACAAAAGTACAATAATGACACATAGAAATATCACAATAATTAGTTTTAAATCATGTAGTAAAGCATTAAGTAACGCTTTCGTCATGTCATCACCTTGTTCTGACCGAACGATCCTCCCTGCATCAACGTCCGCCTCGCTAATGAACGACAGAGAAAATCTGGAATCAAATCAGCAGAGGCGTCTAATGAATCATATTATCTGAGTTCACGGTGTGTAAATCACATTCACAGTGACGTGTGGGTCACAGATGCCAGGGTCGATTATTGTAACCGATCCGGGACCGTTCGTCTGGAAAAAAGTCACGCATGGCTTTATGTGAAGTATGGAGGCGCTGTTTATTAAACATGTTTCTAAAAAAATCTTCCACCGGAACAGCAATGACTTTAATATGTAAATTAATACATAAATAAAAAGGCTCAAACAGCAGCTGGAAATGTTAAAGAGCTTCACATTAAATCACCAGATAGAAAATATGTTTATTTATATGAATGTAATCGGCCTCATAATCTGTCAAAATGTATCAAAAACCAGTTATTTATATTAACTACTGGTTCCACTGAGCTGTTTATCTCTGATTTATGTAAATAAGAAACAAGACTAGAATAAAACCAAACTCTAGCACTAATTGTCTTGTTGTAAATGAGCAGGAAGTGGTTTCTGTCTGATTTTATCCACTATCACCATTTACATCCACGTTTTTCTTCTGTTTCCCAAATTTAAAGCTGCAGAAATATGTGCAGTAAATTCCTGGCAACTGTTTGAAATTATATTTAAGTTTAAAACTCGATGCTGAAAATGTTTCATTCTCAAATTACTAAAATAATTCCCTTCACATTTTTCTTTTCATATTTACCAAGTGACATTTTGTTCCAGTCAACCAACATCAGTTTAGTGGATGAGTTTATATTTCAGTATTGTTTTATTACCAACAATCCAAACGGTTTTCATGCACTTTTCACTTTGTCCCTGTTTTCTGAGCTCACCGGCGCCCCCTGTAGGGACGTCAGTGTGGTGTTCTTCGCCCTGCTGGTTCTCACTGAGCCGACCTTGGATTAGAAACCAGCAGGAACTCTGACTTTGTGCGATTTCACAGCAAGGAGCTGAAATGAGACAAAGGGCGTCCAGAGCTAAATATTTCATAGAGAATTAGGACGTTAATTACTAATCAAGGCAGTGTTTGATGCGTCAGAGCCTGTCATTGGTTATTAATGATCAGTCAGACAGACTAATCAGTGATCAGAGGTAATGACGTGACGGTCAGACAGGAGATCACGTCTCTCACGGCGCAGTGGAAGCAGAAGCAGCGCGCCGAGCACGCTCTGCGTAAACCTCTGTGCGTCGTAAATGTCCGTCCGGTGAATTGTTGAATGAGCCCAACAGGCGGCTGAGAGCATCAGTTAAAACTCTGACAGCACAGAGGGACGGCCCACAGACAGCAGGGGATTTACAGCCGGCCGGTTCCGATCCGATCGGATCATCAGATGCAATAAAATGATCCAGCGTGAAAATATCATTCCCTCCCACGTTTAACTTCCTGCTGCCGGTCCATTAAGTCAGCTGGATTTATCCTCTGTGGAGAAAACGTCCTGCGTCTGTGGAGGTTTTATTGTCCCTCCTGAACAGACATTTAAGTAAAAGCTGATTGTGACTAATTTAATCAGCTCCGTGAGCTGCGTCTGTGAGACTGAAGGACAGATCTTCACACAGCAGCTCGGTATTTAATCTGAGCGTCTTCTGCTCCTCTGACCCAAACATCATAATCCATATTTTTATTGTAGACAGAGACAGAGCAAACAAAGCGGTTCCACCAGCTTGTCCTTCACTGATAGATATATCAGATCTATGGAGCCCTTGGATGTTATTAGTTACAGCCAGAAATTACACGCATGCGCACAGCGCTGGAGGGCAAAACGATTCTTTTTCATTCATTTAGTGCATTAAGCCACAGCAAAGGGAAAAGTAACGCAGAACACATTACAGAACTCAAAAGCATTTTTTCTCGCTCTCTGTGTCACTACACGCAGACTCGTTGCCATAGCAACTGAGAACAACGCCACTTTATGTTTCTGAATTCAACACCATAAAACACTCAAACGTTTCCCAAACAATGAACAGAACATTCAGTCCGGCCCAGTTTTATGTGTTCAGGCTTGGTGTTTATTTTGTGATTATTAATAAGTGGCTGTGGTAGATTAGCCACCGATGCTATTAGCTAAGCTAACACAGCGGTGGTTGATTAGCTCATTTAAACACCTGCTCTACTGATGATCAGTCGCCACGTTTTATTTTTAACTGAACCGAAACCCACAGATGTAACAACGGTTGTAACATGTAGACATATTTCTCTCTCCATCGCTACTTTTTCTCTCTAAAGTTAAACTTTTTTACTCTTTGTGTTGACAATTAGTAGGAGAACTCTGTTCCTTTTTCTCTTAATGTCATGCATAAGTTTAAGATTTAGCGCGTTATATTAACAATAGTCACCGTTAGCCAGCAGCTTTTTGGCCTCCAGCAGGGAGACGTCGTGACGTCACGCTGCAAAGGGTCCAGTCCATGTAACATGCAGGAAGACACCAGATTTAACCTTCCACATATTTTAACTCTGAGTTATGAATCTATTATTTTTTCCACAACATTTGTCGCTGCCACAACTCCTGACTGTAAATATGAATCTGCAGCGGTTTCACGGCCACTTATGGCTTATTCCCTCCAGTTTGTCCCAGCAGACTCCGCTGTGCGTCAGGTTTAATACGATGAGATGATTAATGCTGAGGGGGAGCAGTGAGTCAGTGCTGCTGACATACAATATTTATGTGCATCTCATTGGAAAACATTGAATATGTCAAATCTCTAAAGGCTTGTCTGAATTTTAATGATGTCACGGGGAAAAAGAAGAGTGGTTCAGGTTTCCAGGTGTGTTAATTATTCAAAACTCCAGCATCTGTTTTAAGAAATGAATTACTTCGATTTCTAAACTCTGACATTTACAGCTATGGAGGGTTTAAAAAGAAATAAATAATTAAGTTAGAATGGAATTGCTAGAAAATTAATGCAAAGAAAGCTTGACTGGATTTTCTACGACTGAACTTTTCACCTGTTGGTTATAAAGTCAGCACGTTATAACGTATGGGAGGTTATTTACAGCCTCCTTTTATCAACATCAAATTAAATATTAAACAATACATAGTAAATATTAACAAATAAAATGGTTCCAACAACAAAAAAGAACAAAAAACATCAGAAGAAATAAATCAACACATGAACAATTGACACAATCATTGAGAATCAATCATTATTTAATTAATTTTATTGACTTTTATTCATAAGTGCAGCTATAATAAAAAAAACATTTGATTCTGTGCTCCAGGTTTTATAAATGAAGAGAAATAAAATCTTCTGATGATTTAAATTTCAGATTAAATGACAAAATAAGAGTCACTGTGCTTGTTTTGGGTTTCACTCAAACTGACGGACTTTCCTGCATGTTTCTTGTCGCTGTTTTTTAAACATGACTCTCAGCTCTCCTGGGGTGGAGAAAACAGGACCTGGCATGCATGTCTGCAGAAAAGGTCAGGGCATTAAGTGTCACATCGGAAAGCAGATGAACACTTCAGACTCTTCATGAACACAGAGTCGAGTTAAATCCTCCTCTTGACCTTCAAAAGAACATCTGCAGGTTTTAAGATCCCTTTATTTTATTAAAATGTACAAATAAGCAGGTTTAAATGTTGTTTCATTTAAATTGGTTCATATTCTGACACCGACTTTTCATCTCTGGTTGTTTCTTCAGTTTCCAGTTGATGTTCGGTCTGAGCCAAGTGATGACGCGTCTCAGCAGCATCTCATTACCTGCTCAGTTGGTTTTACGCCCATTTAGACTGAATTCAGCTTATTGTGCACAGAAATTACAACCAATGAAATCTGAACTGGATTTGTTTACATGGCAAACAGATCCGTTCATATCAAACAAACCCATCGCCATGGAGAGCAGTTCATCCATCCAATATGACTCCAGCTAAAATACAATACAGTCATGTTTGGTTTATGATGCTAATATGAAAGAGATGGTAAATTAAAAAGAGTTGGGAGGAGAAATTATGCAGCTTGTCAACATGAGATCAAGTTTACAATGACAGGAGTGAGTAGGAGACTTTGTGTAAAGCTAATTGGATCTCAGAAAGCATTAAATCATCATTTAGCTTCTGAAAGTGTTTATGTTGATGTTAGAATTACCCACTATAACATCTTTATGAGTACTGATCACTAAGTCAGATAAAAACTATGAGAATTGATGTAAAACTTCAGAGCAAAGGCCTGGTGATGATGCAGAACCACTGATAAGCTGATCAGTGGTTCTGTTAACTGCATGTTCAGCATAAACTGGATAAGGTAAGAAATCAAGCTGCAGGAAAGTGTGTTAAACTACAGCCTGGAAGCTGAATTTACTCATTTTTTAATATTCCTTGAATGAAGGGCCAATCCATTCTGTCTTATTTGAGTTTTTACATTATACAAGCTGTTTTTCTGGACGTCACCCAGACAACCAGCAGTTGAATGAAGAAATGCTGCTAAGCATGTTGCAGTTTTTATTGTTTTAATGTTTTCATGAGTGCTTGGGAAGGAATGAGTTGCAGAATCAGAATCAGTGTTAATGGTCAGAGTTGTGTGCAGAGGTGATTTGACAGCATGCAGACATTAAGTAAAATAATAAAAGTGAAAAAGATCAGTCAGTTTTAGGAGAACCAGGCAGGTTGTGGTTGTGCAAATATGCTGATTTTGCTTCCCAGCAGAGTAGCTGGCAGGCTGGGAGGCGTTCATTGTGTTCATCAGAGAGCCTGAGGGAAAAACTGTCTGGTTTTTACAAACTGCGGCTCTGCAGCCGAGCTGAAGGGAAAAGTCCAAACAGCGTCGGTGTGTGAGGACCAGCTCAGGTCCAGAGAAATGTTCTGTCCTTCTCCGGCTGGGAGCAGAGCTTCTTCTTTATAGCACACTAACAAGGTGCAGACACCAACCTTCCCAGTGATGTACATTAAACCTGAGCTGCAGGTCCTGCAGCAGCAGCTCTGACTATGTAGATGTGAGTAAACCAGCAGAGTGTGAAAGCAGGAAAACTGAGCTAACAATCCGTCTCATTAATGAGCTTTCAGGAAGCGGTTCTCCT